ATTCACTTTAAGACCAACAGACCGAGAGCCGAGGGGAAGGTGTTGATGGTGGCTAAGCCGAGTCACCTAGTGTTTGGTTACCCTGGAGGGATGGACAGTTTCTAACTTCACCAGCACCGCCGAGTCCCGGAGGTGGGGGCTTACACGTGAGCTCAGCAGTTGCTTTGATGCATTCTTGGCAGAGAATGCTTCACCTGAGCAAATCACAGTCAGACCTAACTGTTCCGAAATGTTTTTAGTATGCGCCAGGCACTGTGCCAAGTCCTGTAATGAGTGAAGTCATTGGATCTTTGCTGTGACATCAGTGAAATTTTTACTTCCATTTTACAGCAAGGAAATTGAGACAAAGGAGGCAGGCAACCTGCCCAGAGTCACCTGGCCAGTAAGCGCCAGGCCCTGCACCCAAGCGCCGGCAGCTGAGAGGGCCAGGGGGCGGCAGTGGTGGGGGCGCCCTCTGCAGCTCTCTGCGCTCAGGCTGTTCCGGGCCCAGCGCGCCCACCTCCGCACACACGCCGCCTTCTGTCAGCATCAGAATCAACAAACATGTTACTCACAAAGACCCTCCCTGTGTTTCAAACCTACGTCCGGTTAGAAAAGCCAGTCCAGAAGCTTCCCTTTCTACAGCAAGCACCGTCCACCTGGAGCGCGGGCAATGGCGGGCGGGGACCAGACGGGCCGGGCCCCTCGCCCGTGGTGCAGGGCAGAGCACCTTAGGCTCGGCCAGCGGACGCCTGAGGAGGAGGAGGGACCCTCGCAAGAGGGTCCCCAGGGGCAGGCTTTTCTTTATCAGCATGAGATTCTCATGAAGTTTCATCAGCCCAGGGAAATTTTTTAACAAGCCGCACCGTCTCTGTCGTCTTGTGTTTGCAGGAATTGGTGCTGCGGAATCTTTGAGGGCCGTGCGGAGAGCCACCTCGGACGCCACGCTTGCTTCCTTGCCAGGAGGCGCACTCTCCCCACCCCCATGCACGCGTAATTTCAGGACAGGACAGACAGAAGGAACCATAGGTGTCGACATTCTTGCCTCAGGTTTGGCAGCATCCAAGGTGGGAGGGACAGGGACAGCCTCTGGTCTCTGGTGCTACTTCTTTTTTCAATACGAATTCCTTCTTTAATCTGTAGCTATTTTCTAAAACCGGTGTACGCTCCACATGCCTTGGGAACCTTCCTTTTCCTGCCCACTTTCCTGGATTAAGAAACGTGCAAGGAGCAGAAAGGAAAAAAGAACTACTAAAACAAGAGGGAAGGAGGGGGGGGGCGGGGAAAAGGAAGGGAAGGAGAAAGTCAAGGAACATACAGCAAGGACTCATGGACAAAACCAAAGGGGAAGAGCTGAGGGAGGGAAGGAGGGAGGGGGCAAGGGAAAGTGGTAGGGGGGAGGCAGAGACAAATGTATTTGAAAAAATAAATTAAAATAAAATTAAAAAAAAAAAAAAAAGAAACATGCAAGGGCTCTCAGGCTGGGACTCGGCCAGCTGTTTGATCATGCGCACTATGTGGAAAACAGAGGTGACACGGGTTATTTTAAGTTACCCGTTTTCTTGTCCAGGAACACAATCACGAACCTATGTGCGTGGGCAAAGCGATGTCCCTTTTGTGCTCCACCCTGTGTCATTTCTGTGCGGACCTCCAAGGACAGTCTTTGACTAGGCCATTGAGAACTGGACGTTTGCCATGTTTTTCCAATCAGCCTTTGTTCACAATTGTTGAGTGAGCGTTCATTTTTCTAAAGGCAGTTTTGATGAGTGGAAACCCTGTTTCAAGGTCAGCATGAAATAAAGAAGATAATTTGATTTCAAGAAAGAAGAAAATCTGGTGTCCAAGCTTTCTCAACTCATCCACAAGGTCAGGCCAAAACGTCAGACATCAGTTTTCCCATCTTTAACGCCCAAACAGAAGGGACCATCCATCTTCTGTGACAATTTTTTATTAAGTATGAGCCATGTAAACAGTTCAGCCTCACAGCATTATGTACGAGAGGCAGCTCTTTATTGCCACGTGCAAATGTTAGAGAGGGTTAAGGAAATGTCGGAATTAGAAATAAATTCCCCAAAACAACCACACAAAAATTAGGAGGTTACTATTAAGACTCATGAAAGGCATGGGACTTGTTGAAGACTTATTTCTCCACACCAGAAAAAAATAAAAATTACATTTAAAAAAATAGCCCAGGTGGCTAAGTAGGTTCCAATTTTTCTCCCTGCGTATAAAGAGCCCCCTGTAGAAGCTCCGATAAACCACACTCTGCTCCATCATAACAGCCACACGAGGTCCTTTTTCTTTTTTCTTTTTTCTTCCCGATCAAAGGCAACTGTGTAAGTTGCAGATCTTTATAAATCTCTGGAAAATGAAATTGAGCACTTGTCTGTTTTCTACATAGGAACCCTTCCTCAGGGCCCAATCAATACCTCCCACATCACTGCCAAGCCGGAGCTTGCAGACCGGTCAGCAGTGTGACGTGTCTGTGGGTGCATTTATAATCGTATACGTAGAGAATAATGATACAATAATACAGCACTTAAGATTTCTAAGTATTCATGTTCCAGCTAGTGTGCTAAGCACTCTTCACATATCAACTAATCTTCACAATAAATAGGAACTAGAAACTGCACCCCTGTTCACAGGAGGTCCCCACGAGCCCTGGGCAGGAAGCGCTGCGGGGGCGGGGCGGGGCAGGGTGGGAGGGGCCCACCCAGCTGCCTGGCTCCACGGCCACCCTTGGGAGCTCACAGAACACTGCCTCGCGACCACAGCTCCCGCCCGCCCGCTGTGAGCCTGCTGTGGGCCAGGCTTAGCACAGCGCCTCCTGCTGGCGCCCTATCATGTAGTCCTGTCATGCTCCGGAGTGGCGTATGTGGACAGGTGCTGCAGGTTGCTTTTCCTTTTTGTTTGTTCTCTATGTTCACCCCATGGAGCACATTTTTCAATGAGAAACATCATGTCAAATTGCACATTTATGGTTTCTCTGTATCAAATAGAAGATTGGCCACGCTGAGCTCTCCGAACACCCGGCAGGAGCTGACTCCTGTCCGTGGGCCTGGCCTATCCCGCCGACCATGGTTCTCAGCACCCCCGCTGCCCACATCCAGCCTTACCTTCCTGCCACCCACCCACCTGGGCACTGCGGGCATCCGACGCGGGACCCGCAGGGCAAGCGTATCTGTGCAGGAAAAGGGGGCAGCTGTAGAGCTAAGGGGCCTATGTGGCCCAGCCCAGTTCCAATCTCTCAGCCACCACTTACAAACTCCTGTTGACTTAATTTCTTTAAGCCTCTCTCTTTCTTCAGTCCAGAACAGATTTACTAACAGGGCGCTTCCCTCAGAGTGTCACGGACCAATCAAGTGCGATAACCCATGAAAAGAATAAAGCCTGGAGTTCAATGGTGATTGGTTATTGCTCTTTCTATTTGGAGCCATGGGAGGCTCCTGAACAGAGGCCACGTCTGCCCCCCGGGAGCTCTGGGGACGGGCTGTGGGTCAGACGGGCAGCGCGGCTGGGGCCGCAGAGTCGGTGGCTGGGGGGTGGGGATAGTTGGGCGGGACTCTGGGACAGCACCTCTCCCAGGCAGAGCACGTTCCCAAGACAACCGCAGAGGAAGGTCCGTGCCGGGGGTCCGGGCACACCTGGGACCGCCCATGGATTCGTCTTCCCACAGGGGTTTGCCTGTGCGGCTGAAATGCTGCCTCGCACTGAAACGCTGAATTGCCTTGTTTTGGAGCTGCGCCACTGCCCCCAGGCTGGGGAGGGGCCTCCTGACGCCCTGCCCCAGAGCGCCCTTCGGGGTGTGCCCCGCGCTCCCTCACAGCCTTTCCTTGGGCCACCCCCCAACTAGGCCTGCGGAACCCTATGAAACGTAATGGACCGCTTTGCCTTCAACCTGTCACCAAATTCAATCCAATGACGAATGGTTACAGCACCAATAAGTAGTTTTAAAACTGCACGTCATGCATCGCCTTTGTTTCTAACATTTTGCCTGGGCTCTCTGCGGCCTGAAGAATAAAATCCAAGTTCTCCAGCCCTCACTGGGGCCTGACGTGGTGCCAGGCGTTTCTGTCTACACTTCAGACCTGCTCCCCGGCAGAGCTCTGTCCTCTGCTGCCTCCTGGGCTGTGCTCTCTCCACGGCGCCCGCCAGTCCTCTGCCCCCTGGCAGGCACATTCCCGTGCACGTCAAATTCAGCCAAGTCCTGCACAGCCATGGCGCTGCAGCCAGCAACTAGCTCTGTCCGTGGTTTACAGCGGGATCCAAAAACCTTAGCTCTGAAGGGCCCACGAGTAGGTACATCAGGGCTTGAGGCCGTCCAGTCTGTCTGTCCGCCCCTGCCCAGGAGCACGCACAGAAGTGGGAGGAGCTGCGTCCCAACAACACTCTGTTATAGTTACTGGAGTTTCAACTCCATGCAGTGTTTACGGGTCACGCCATATTATCCCTCTGACATTTCCCAAGCACTTAACAACATAAAAAGCATTCTTGGCTCGTGGACTGTACAAAAACAAGCCGAGGCCAAGGCAGGTGCTCGTTTGCAAGTCCCTATTTCAAAGGCGCACTGTTCGCTGATCCACAGCTTTCCTTTCCACCTTGCTCCTGACGAATACCCTGCAGTGAGCAGCCTTAAGTGCACCAACCTTAAGTGAGCAGTCCATTGCATTTGGACATCTATATATACAAACCTGTGGCCACCACACAGATCCAGATATGAAACATTTCCAGTTTAGAAAGCTTGTAAAAGACGCCCCACAAAAGTCTATCCTTTGTTTTAAAAGCAGTTCCTCTCTCCTTTCCATAGGCCCGGGCTAAAGAAACAGAGGCAACGCCCTGGGCTGCCTGCATTTCACAGCGCCATGCAGTTTTAAAGGCCACTCCGGACACCGCTGACCACTACAGCCATGTAGAGGAGGGCCTGTGTGAGCGCCTCGGGCGACCGCTGCTTAGGCACTCCAAGGGCGACTCCGCAAGCGCACGCTCCGTTCCGCGCAGCCTCTGCCGACGCATGAGTTTACCTGGGCCAAGGTGAGCGTGGCTTGCTGGCAGGTGCCGCACCGCACCCTGAGCTTTCCCGGCTGCACTCGGTGACAGGCGCCTTTGCAGTAAACGTAGAAGCTGTTGTAGGCCGGTCTCCCTGCTGGGGAAAGAGAACAAACAAAGGAAGCAGCCAGTCAGTGCACAACGCAAATCGAGACCCACGCTGAGGGTGCGAGTTCCCAGGGCGGGGAGAAGAGCTGGCACCCTGACTGCGACCTTCGGGGCGTGTCCCCAGCGGCCTGCCTGCAGGTCTGCGGCACAGACCCTTGAATACGGAGCCCTGGCCCCGACGGGAACAGCAAGGCACATCTGGGACCCAACAAGTTCTTCTGCAAGGACAGAGCTGTCGCCAGTCAATAATGTCAGTCTAGCCCCTTTTACTTCTGCTCAGACCTGAAAATCCTTCTTCTCTCCTCATCGGGTCTTCCATATGGCAATCCCTTCCCACACATAGACTATCTACATAAATATTTTTCACTGCATCATTTGTAATGAAGTTGCAGACACTATAGTACTCACCCCTAAGTCCTTAAACTTCCTAAAAAATGGCCTTCCCCCTCCCCCCCCCCCGCCCAAATAAAACCCGAGAGCTTTCTGAGTGATTTGCTGCTTGCGTAGTCTTAGGCATGGACGAATCAGCGCTTTAAGTGCGCCGCACAGAGCCCTGCAGCAGGGTGCCAGTCGTTGAAAGGCACTGAGCCGGAGCGTGGGGCTCCCCAGCCGGAGGCGATGCGAAGCCGAGCCAAGGTAGGTAAGCCCGCTCACCGCGGGACCCCACGCACTCTTAATTCGGGAACTGCAGAGCACAGCACGTGCCAAACTTGGTCCGACCTCAGAAGCCTGCCTTTTAGGGAGAATTCTGTGAAACTGTATGCCTCAGAAAAATATAAATTAAAGGGAGGATTCAACCCACAGTGCGGACTTGATCTGTGCAAGCCACACTGCTGATGTTTGTAAGCAAACTCGCTTTATCAAACGCCCCTAGACAGCCTACGCACGGTTAGGGTGCGTTCTCCCCTCCACCCCAAGCCACCAATAAACTTGTATAATTATTATACCATAAGCCAGGGGGGTTAGACTCCTGATGCAATGATTTTACAAAGTCAAGGATATTCATTTCATTCTGAAGTTCTTTTTCTTTTTCTTTTTTTGATAGAGGTTAAAAGCAGAGTTAATGAGTAGGACCCTTTAAAGTGTGAGTCATTGTGCATTCAAAGCATCCACAGAAACCCTCCCGTTCCCTAGTATTATAATTTTATCATTATCTTTAGTTTTTCTCTCCCACTATTTGTCTGGTTAACATGCTCCTTTGTGAAGCCTCCTCTTTTCCTTATTCTCTTTTCTTGGTCCAAAAATTGCCAAAAGCATTAACAATATTCACAACACATTGAGTAAAGCCCCTGTTTAAAAATAATATATAGTATTGGCTTTGACTTTTTAAAAGCCAGCATAATCTGTACAGCTTTCATTTTTCTTTTATGTATTTTAAATAATGAGCTTAAGGCCTGAAGACATACTTCTAATGAGACAAATGGATACTTCAGAAAAGTCCTTCTGATTCTGATGAAAACTATTCATTGACCTTAGAAGTTTTCATCACGGCTTGTCAGAGAGAATCAAGAATTCAGTTCCTTGGGCCATTCGTTTTCGAGTCATAGGGAGACAGGGAGATTCAACACATGCAGTAGCTACAACCCGCTGGGTCCCCTCAGCCCCCCCCTTCCTCTGGTCTCTTAGAAGGTGACCTTGGTCTGGTATGATGCCTGTGAGCTCACTATGGGAAAGACCTGTGGCCAGGCTTTCTGGACCCTGTCCCTGTGCCCTGACCCTGTGACAAGGCGCCGAGGCAGAGAGAACCTTCTCCCCCACATTTGCCAGAACTCTTGCCACTGCATTTCGGGCTGGCGGCCCCCCTTCAGCCTGTGTTTCGTTACATTTGCTCGAACGTAGGCCTCAGGGGCCAGGGGCGCAGGAGGTGTCTGCCCAATGGGCAAAGTCCGAGCCAGGTCATCTGCACGCAGGCCCTTCTTCCTCCTATGGATCTGAAACTCTCCATTAGTTCTGGTTTGAACAATACGTATGCGGGGGTCCAGGGGAGTGCCCATGCAATCCACCCACCGCACACCTCCGGAAGCACCTCTCCTGCGCAGCGCCTTGCATTGCATCATCAAAAGGATAAGGTCATGTCCACCCCAATGCAATGCAAACTTCTGAACAGAAAACCCTGCCGCATATTGGTTATCTCCTTGTCCTGCCTCCTGTGTTGCTCCAGCCTCCCACAAACGCCTCTCCCTATTCCACATCCAAACTCCCAGTGCAGTTCCTTGATCTAAGTAAACATGCAATAAATATTTGCTAGGTCAATAAGTTATCCCAGATAACATGGAAGTTATCAGGTATGGTAATGTGAGGGCAACCTCTATATAAAATAGAATGTAGCTCTGATACCAAGTATCTAAAACATCTTTCCACCAGCCAACTATCCTGGACTCACTTCCCACATCCTTCAAATGAATGGCCCATAATATTTGAAACCGATAACATTAATATAATCTTAAGACTACAAAAATGATTAGGATAATAGATAAAAGTAAACAAAAAAGAAAGAATACTTTAAACAGGTTACATAATACTTTGGATAACTCAATGTTAAGTGGAAAAAAATTGAACTCTGAAATTTTACAAGTAGAACGACTCTCAAGGAGCAAGTCATTACACAGGGACATTAGTGTCAATACTCATCCAATGGGTCACTACAGCCACCGAACCCGGCCACCCTCTCCCGCTTCTAACAAGCCGCGGTCTTCACGCCCACGGAACCATGGGGAGAACTCTCTGTTATGTAGCGCTTCCAATTACACAGCCATCCATCCAGGGCACGCACTTTTAAAACACGTTTAGCAATCCCTGAGGAGACTCTCCCCGAAAAGTTAACTTAATTCTCCATTTTTATGGTAGGGATTTTAATTAATGTATCTGCACAATAATTTCATCTGGTGAGGGAAAAACTGCTGATTACAGCTAATGCCTTGGCCTGGATTTTTGTTGCTGCCAATTTATTTTCTCATTATTCATTGTGAAAGTAATAACCAAACCTCCCATGCCAAGACAAAACTGTAGAGTGAAGCATAATTTGAAGATTAGTTCTAAATAAATAGCCATGCTCAAAGCCAACCAGGTAAATTCAGTAGCTTATTCTTCCCAGAAACGGGTCCCTATGGGGAGAGTTGAGGTGGGCGCCTGAAGTCGCGGTGCTTCAAAGCCTGGAGTGAACGTCCACAGCTCAAATTTGGATGGGAAAAATGATAAATTCTGCAGATGAGTGTGTGAAGTGTCCTCAGAATAAATCCTTAGAGCCCCAGATGGATGCATCCAGGTCAAACCCCAGCTCTACCCTGTCACCTTGGGTCAATCCATTGACCCTCAAAGCCTGTTTTCTGCTCTGCGAAATGGGTGTGATGATGGTGCCTGACCCACAGGCTGTGGTGAGGATGTGCAGACACACACATGCAGCTGAGGCGCTCAGCCGTGTCTGGTAAGTGGAGCACGCTCAGCGCGTGTTAGCTATGCTCATTGGCTATCAAAACACTCAGGACTTGAGCGCCTCTAAGTCCTCACACCTGTGAGCTTTGGCGGCCGCTCTCCTGCTGTGACCAAGGTGGGCTCATACACGCTATTTCTACATTAAATGTAACTCTAAATTTTTGGAAATAGCCGAGATATAATTCTTTGTAAAACTGCCTCAAACCCAGCCAAATCCTTGATGGTAATGTTTAATGTTATGGAACGTAAACCATGCTGGAAAGTCCTTACTTTGATTTAAAGTTTCCTGGAACCCTTTCCACGCACCACTTTTTTTTATTATTGTCAAGGAGATAAAGATAGATTATAAGAAAACTAGGAATGGAAATAGTAAGCAATTATGTGGATCCAGCCTAGAGGATAACATTTTTAAGCCAGCTAACGCACTTAAAAATAAAGTATTTCCGAAATCAAAACCGCTTTTCATCATGGGGTTGTAAAATGGTACGGACGGGGATTCAGATGGGCCCCCAAATTTCACTTCAGTGGCAGCCTTGTTACGCTAGCACCTATTCCTCTACAAGATACACGTGACCGCCGCCCCCACGTTACCCCTGGGACAGGCTCGGAGGTTGAGGAGCACCTCAAGATAGTCCCAGGGGTGGGCGGAGACTGGAACGGAAGCTTTCCTGTCCTGGTTACACAGTACGGCCTCGCACCTCAACCCCGGGACAGTAACTTGACTTCAAAGGCGGCTTTGCTGGCTCCTGCAGGGGCCTGGGGCTGCAGCCTCGAGAGCGGTACCGGAACGCAGGCTGGCGGCGCACCACCGCCCGCCTACCCGCCCACGGCTTCCCGCCCCGGCTTGGCGCATCCGCTCGGCGCAAACGGTTCCGTGGGAACTTCCAGGAGCGTTGTACCGCGCTGGCGCTCAGCAAGCACATGCAGGCCCAGCAGCCAGCAAAGAGGGGAGTGAATCTCCTTTGCAGAGGCTAGCACATACTCTAGGGTTGCCTGTTATACCATGACATGGAGTCCAAGCCATGGCCTTAGAATCAACAGAATTTCTCATTTATCTTTACAGGAGTGCTGCCTTTCTTGCTATTTGAAAAATAAATTTAATATCTCTTTATTTTAAATATTCTAAGTGTTAGCAAAACCTGTTAAGGAAATGAACACTCCGAAGAATTGTAGCAACAAGGTGTGACCCTCCGCACTCCCAGATTCTTCATCTTATTTCCTCTGTAACAGCCAATATAATTAGTGTGTTAAAAATACTTCATTTAAATATAATATTTCCAATCTTCACTGCTATCATGAAATAGCCTCTTTCAAATTCTGGCGTTTTAAGTACCCCATTTTGCCTTTACAAATGATAAGATTAAACTTACAATCTTAATCAATCTGATCTTGCCCTGTACTGATTTCCAAAAGTCCTTGATGGTCATTGACAGTGATAAGATCACTACTATTTATTAAAATATAAGAAAAATTATTTTTCTTTAGTGACATTTAATGAGTTAGAAATGTCTGGTGATGTCATCGTGCTGGGGAAAAAGGACAAAATGACCGTCTGCT